GTAAGGAGCAAGTTATTTGCCATCTGCACCCACTGGCAGGGATTACCATAGCTTCTTAGAGGGTTTCAGGCTGGGGGGATGCACATGCACACACTCTTCAGGCTACAGCTTCATTTCCATTATGTACACAGCAGCTATTTCATCTTTTTTATGAATTTAATCAAAAAAATATTTTGTTCTGCTGCCATGGTGAGACCAGGGCATAAAAGAGTCTCCTCTGGCTCTAAAATCTGTAATTATGAGTATCCACAGCTTTTGAAAGACAAGTCTTTTGACCTGTACCAATAATGCCATAAGGCACCTGAGTTAGACTTGAAAAACCTTGTGTTTATCTCGTGGCTCATCTTCTTGACTATGGCCTGAAGGTATCAGGGCAAAGAAACCCATACCTCAGAATTGGCTTTATTGGCTGGATGTGGTTCCAGCAGAGTCAGTGAGCTCATGGGAAATAACACCATTCAGTATTTTTGTGGTTTTCATGTCTGACAGATTACAATACTGAGAATACAAAGTAAGTTTACTACTTTTCTAAAACATAAAAGATATTTGTTGCCATCCATAATGCCACTGACCCAATCCATCATGAAGAAAAATCAGCTCAGCTGCTCCCAGTAAGATTTGTATTTCTTACTTTGCCTGGTTTTACCTCACATTTTCATTTCCTGTCTAGGTTCAGATTTTAGCAATACGCACCATTGAATATTGTTCTAATTGTCTCTAAAGAGCAACAGCTCTGTGAAAGGGTTACAGCCAAACACCTGAAATGGGTTGGTTTTTTTAAGAAAGGTAGTGATTGTAGCTGCTGGGGGAGACTTCCTTCCCCCAGTCACTCCGTCAAGAAAAGCATTTGAGTAGCAATTTCACAGATACTGAACTAACATAAAGAGCAGCGCCACAGCAGTCAATAAAAGCGTGCCAGGGGAATGGCTAAAATACTGATGTATTCCAGAGAAATCCATTCATGCCTTAGCAGTAATTCCAATCTCTTTTCCACTAGAACAGCCCCCAAACAAGAGTAATTCATACCTGAATCCAAAAAAATGTGTTCTGGTGTGTGTTTTGGTGAAATAGGGTCAAACTCAAGGTTGAATTAAATCATTCTTTACATATGTAATTATTTGATTTGTGTGTATATATACGTAATATTACATTACCTTGCATTACATATATTTTACCCATCTTATATCTTGTCTATTATATACTTTATATTACATACTCTGTATTATACACTCTATATTATAAGTTATATGTCACATTACACATGCATGTATATATGTATGTATGTATACACATATAGTTGTAATTTTTCATCATCGTTCTGGGAGAAATAACATTTTTCTAACTTTTTTCTACAGCCAAAGGCCCTAAAACTGTTGGGAATGGAGGTAAGCGACCTGTCATAAATCTTAATGTCTTTTCCTTCTTTGGCAAATATACACTATTTCAAGATAATGTTTAAATTCACTGTAATGAAGGCACCAATAGTTGTTTTCAAGTTTTGTATAAAAAATGTGCCACACAAATTGTATTTTTCATCCAGATAACTTGTTTACACAAGGGCAAGATTAAGAAACATTTCTTAATAAAACGCCAGCAGATAGACAAGAGGAAAGAAGGCTCTGCCCCCTCTATGCAGCATTTTTCTTTTCATGAAGATTAAACAAAATGTTTCAGTCTGTCAAGCCAAGCAGAATTTCAGTCAGATAACTATATAACTTTAAAACGTGTTCAGAGTTGCAGAGAATGATGCAGAAATCTTTACATGGGCCAAGTTTCTATCATTTTGTTGACAATTTTGGCTACCCCAATGCTTCACAGAGATAGTAGTGGTTTTTTGTTTGTTTATCTTATACAACAACTTTGGTTTTGCTGTCCACAGATGCAGCACAGAATAGGTCAGCTCATCCAATAAAAGCAGTAGGCTAAACGGGAAAGAAACTAAAGGTGATAGAAACAACAAAGACCTGGAGAAAGAAGGGCTAAACATGGGATACAAAGGCAGAATGGGAGTGAAGAAAGGAGATTACTGGTCTTGTGCAAAGAGAAAGGGAGAAAACACAAGAATAAGCAGAGAGGGAGTCTTCAGCAGACCAGAACATCCCCTGGTTATGTACTTCCTGAAGGTGGAACAAGGCAGATGCGTTACAACAGATGTTATATTTGGAGTGAACTCCTAGCTTTATTTTAATGCTGGCTTTTCCAAAATGGTTCTGGATATTGTGTGATTGTGCTCTGTGAGAGAAAGAATGGTTCAGAGTGATACTCCAAAGCTCTTTTTCCCTGTGTTTAGGTATGGGGTTACTGACTTCTCAATTACAGTGCATGGACCAATACTTTTTTCACCATTTTCCTGTGTTAAATATTTTGTCCAAAAAAGCTGAAGGGGCTGGCCTGCAGGGAATATGTTTGACATCTCAGGTACTGATTCCAATGCATTGTGTGAATTGATTCAATTCCTTCACTGGCGAAAAAATTTCTCTACAATTCTTGCAGGATGATGTCCCTTTGCGGCGAGGGAGGAAAACAACAAAAAAAAGAGAAGAAGAAGTTGATATTGACTTGGATGACCCTGAGATCAATCATTTCCCCTTCCCGTTCCATGAGCTGATGGTGTGGGCTGTGCTGATGAAGCGTCAGAAGATGGCCCTTTTCTTTTGGCAGCATGGGGAAGAGGCTATGGCTAAAGCACTAGTGGCCTGTAAACTCTGCAAAGCCATGGCCCATGAAGCATCAGAAAATGACATGGTGGATGACATATCCCAAGAGCTGAACCATAATTCCAGGTGAATTTTCTTTCATGTATACTTTACTGGGTTA